GCTCTTGTCGCAGCTGTGGTCACTTAACGAGTCGATCCAGGAGTTCCGGCAACTACTGCAGGAACAGGAGCAGGAGGATCGGGCACCCTCGCCATCGCCGAGCAGCGAGGAGGGCGACGACACGTCGTACGGTGGCTCGATTCAGCCGCCACCGCCTCCTCGTCGACCAGCCCCCAGCACGCCTCATCGGCACCAGCAGCAGCACCATCATCATCACCACCACCGAGCCTCGAGGTCGAACAGGAGCTCGAAACTCATGTCACCGAGCGACGAGTCGCCGTCCAGCGAAGAGTACGGCGCCATCTGACTCGGCTGTGAGCTGTTGTTGTTGTAATAAAGCATAGGCTCGGTGGTCCAGGCGACGACGACGGTGTTGCTGTTGATGCCGCTGTTGCTGCTTCTACTGCTGTTGTTAATATTGTTGATTCTCGGTGCTCTGTACTACAATTAAGATTTTTTTTTTTTTTTTTTTTTTTAATTTTTTTGGTAAATATGCAAAAGTATTATTAAATTTTTTTTTTTTTTTTTTTTTTTTTCAAATGGATGAACTTTCCTGAGATTCTGAAAACTCAGTGGCTCAGCAACGAGTCAAACATTGAGTCAGCATGGCTCAAACATTGTAATGCTGAGCACTGTGAGTATTTAATTAATTTAATGGAGAAATATAAACATTAAAAAAACAAAGATGTTTGTCTCAGAAGAAGCGATTGCTTTGAAAAGTTAGGAGATAGAGCTCTGCGAGTCGTTACAGTCGCAGACCAATTTAAAGCAAGGTTCGATATTTCTGTTTGAAATCTTGCTTAAAGGACAGTTGAAGAAACTTAATAACGAAATTGTGAGTGCGAGTTAAACGTAACATCTGAAAAATAAAAGGTAAAAAAAGAATAAAAAACATATAAAAAGTGAAAAAAAAATTGTACAGATATACATATTATATATATATATATATATTCATATTGTCTTCTCTTCCTATTGCCACTGAATAGAATACAGTAATATTTTGTTTTTACCGTTAATTATGAGCTCGAAAAATAACGTATACGTGAGACTGCAAAACCAATTGTGACGCGATCTATTTGTCATAGTTGTAGTTCTCAATGATTTAGGTAAATGTATTTCACTGAAAATCCGTCGAATGAGGTTATCAGCGAAATAATGAAAAGCAAAACATGAACATTAAATAGGAACAGTCAGTTTTTTAAACATTAGTAATTAATAATTTGTTAACAGAGTATAAGAAAAATAAAGTGTGTTGACTGTCTCCCAAACACTTTGTTTTTAATTATAATGTGAAAATAAAAAATGACAGTAAAAAAAAAAAAAATTATGAAACAATGCAACTTGAAAAAATTACTCGTGTAAATGTGTGTGTATACGTGTGTGTGCGCGTACGTATGGGTGTAAATGATTGAATTACGAGTTATGTCCGTCAAACGGAACCAAGACGAGGTAGATTTTTCACTCTCCATATTTTTATATAAATTTTACTTAGTGCTGAAAAAAAATGTAGCCATTGTGTCTTTTTCTTTCTTTCTTCGATATAAAATATGAGTTATTCCAGCGCCGTATACGCTGCATCGATCTGTACATGTATACTTTCATTTATTTACCTTAAAATTAATTGTAGCTTCAAATTAAAACTTTTTTTAAGTCTCTTTGGAAAAGTCGATCGTTATATTTTTTTATAGCATTCTTTAAGTTAAGAAAAGTAATGGATAGCGTTTGTATGGTTACAGTCATCATAATTTCATGATTATCGACTTTGAGTGATTATTATTATTATTATTATCATTATTATTATTACATAATATATAAATATATATTTATATTTGTATATTTAGGATGAGTAATTAAAAAAAACAATCGTTAAAGACTGCTAAAGTTAAAAAAAAATAATGATATCAATAACTCTGAATCGTTAATTCAAACAATGGTAAGAGATCTTAAACTTTTCTTACACCTCATCAAGAGTGCGGATTCAAACTGAAACAATTTTTTTAGATAAAAAATAATGTTGAAGTATTAGGATGCATACTTATTGTATTAACACGAGAGGATAACAATACGAAAGAATGATATCCGCGCCAAAAAAAATTCTAATCAATCGGCCATTGCGTTTTACGAAATATGTGCGGCGACAGCGGCGTCGTCTTGAGCAGACAGCAGCGCAAATGCAAACTCGTTCTGTTGATTTGATTTATGACGAGTTGACGAGTGTTTACGTTAACGCAAGTGTAGCTGTATTGTAAAAATATTGTAAAATATACGAGAGCATTTGTCGTCAATTTCTGTCTTTGAATTATTAGAATTTATTCGGTGAGCACAAAAAAGAAACTATGTTAATCGCAATAAAAGAAATAACCAAATTTCCTTGATCGCGTTCAGTTTTGAGGTTACCTTACTTCTTAAATCGTCATTTTTTCAATCAATTATCAATAAAACAAGTACACCGCACTAACTAAGCGTAAAAATGGCTGTAGTTATCGAAACTACTATAGGTGATTTTACAGTTGACCTTTACACTGAGGAGCGGCCACAAAGTGAGTTTAATTCATTTGTATCATAACCCTATACTTTCCGCAATATTGTGTAGAAGTATTTTTTATTATATTAGTTGCACTGTTCTCTTATTTTCGTTACTATTTCTGAACATTAGGGAAGAAAAATTATTTCTGTACTAGGTACTGGAATTTTTTATTAATAATCAATACCAGAAACTAATTTTGTTTCATTTATTTATTTCCTTGTCTATTTACTTATTTCTTATACATGAGCATATTGGATGAGATAGATTTGAAAAATCATGTAATTTTTTTTTATTAAGATACTGACCAATACAATCATCTGTTGACACTTTTAGCCTGCCGCAACTTTTTGAAACTATGCAAAATCAAATATTACAACTGGAACCTATTCTTTACTGTGCAAAGCAATTTCATAGCACAGACAGGAGATCCTTCAGCTACTGGAGAGGGTGGAATGAGTATTTATGGTGTGGTTTTAGGAGAAAAAGCACGCTTTTATGAAGCTGAAAAGTTGCCAAAATTGAAACACGATAAAGTTGGCTTAATCTCAATGGTGAATTGTGGCGACAACATGTTAGGTTCACAGTTTTTTATTACATTGGCTCCAGATCTGCAGTCGCTCGATGGAGAACACTGCGTGTTTGGAGAGATAACTGAGGGTCTTGAGATTATTTTAAAATTTAACGAGACAATCTGCGACACGGATCACAGACCTTATCAGGATGTTAGGATATCGCATACAGTGATTTTAGAGGATCCATATGATGATCCAAAAGACTTGAGGATACCAGACAGGAGCCCGTCACCAACTAAAGAAGCTTTAATGGTAAACCATCAATTTATAAACGAAAGGTAGAAAGTAGGTACACCTCATGATTGATGTAAAAAATTTGTAGAGTGATCGTATTGGAGCGGATGAGATAATCGACGACACTGCAGGAATGACGGAAGCAGAAGTCATTGAAATGCAAAAAGAAAAAGAAGCCAAAGCTAGAGCAACGATTCTGGAGATAGTTGGTGATATTCCAGATGCTGACATGGCCCCACCAGAAAATGTCCTTTTTGTTTGTAAATTGAACCCAGTAACAAGTGATGACGATCTTGAGATAATTTTCAGTAGATTTGGAAAAATTGTTAGGTACGGATTTTTTAATAATCATATGTTATGCATCTATTTTTTTTTTTTTTTTTTTTTTTTTTTTTTTTTTTTTTTTTTTTTTTTTTNTGAGACAAAAATTAAAATTAATTTATTTTAATCATCAAGTAGAACAAGTTTTTAACATGTATAATTATTTTTCAGCTGTGAAGTCATCAGGGACAAACAAACCGGAGATTCCTTGCAGTACGCATTTATAGAATTTTCTGATCGAAAAAGTTGTGAAGATGCGTATTTTAAGATGGATAACGTACTGATCGATGACCGCCGAATTCACGTTGACTTCTCACAGTCCGTGGCTAAAATGCGATGGCGCGGAAAAGGCAAAGGTATCATTTATTATGATGATAATGGTAAAATAAATAAAGATGAAATGCCAAATGATAGAAGAAACAAGAAAGTTAGGCAGCGTAGCAGATCGCGAAGCCCAAGAAAAGATCGGTATGAAAATAGAAAAGATCGAGATGAAAATAGAGGAAGGTATGATTCGAAAAAAGACTATAAACGACGTCAAGAATCTTATAGAAATGAGGATGATAGAAGACGTGGAGTTAGGGAAGAAAAACAGAGTAAGAAAAGACTAGATAGGAGTAGAAGCAAAGAAAAGAGAGAAAAGAGTAGGGAAAGAGTTAGGGAAAGACGAGAAATAAAAGACATTTGTAAAGACAGAAGAGACAAAAGTAAAGATAAGAAAGATAGAAAACGCGATTCGCGAAACTCGAGAGATGAAAAGCACAAAAAAAAACTTAGAGATAGCTCGTCTTCTTCGGAGGAAGAGCGAAATGATAGACATTCAGGAAAACGTCGAAAGTCGAAAGAGAGATCAGAGGAAAAATACAGTAGTAAACGACGACACAAGCATAGAAGCTAATAGATTTTTTATATAATTTTTTTAATATAGGTGTGGGTATGAATGAACGTAATGAATGCTAGCTTTAATAATAGAAGAAAAAAAAAACTAAATTTTGTATGATTTCATAAATTGTACATTAAAACGCGAATGTTTTTAACTGTATAAGTGTGATGGTAAGTTTATTTACAATACATAGAGTACAAAATAAAAAAATGTTTACAATCTTGCATTAAAGGTAATTCTTTTTTTTTTCTTCTTTTAGTACTTATAGTCCAAGCTCTCAACTATACCAAAGAGTTTTCCCAATGGCTTCTATACAAAACTATCGCTATGTATAAGTCAAATATATTCTTTACCAAGAAAAGTTAATCAGCGAAGAAAAACTTTTTAAAAAACGTTGTCGCACAAATTAAAACACGAGGTTTTTTTCTGGAATCCCACAAGTAAGCATACCGCATTTTCAAAAATAGAAGACTGAAAATCTTACTTCAACACTATTTTTGATCTTATTTTTACTTTTATACCCCGACAATCCAATTTCGTTTCGTTATTATCAAAGTAAAAGCTAGTTTCGAGAAAACACTATTTATAACGTATAGTTGGAACATCTCCAAAAGGAAACTTCTTTGAAGCTTCGCAAGGAAAAAAGACGGTAAATTACATACGTAGAATATAATTATTTATTAATCCTCTCGTCCTTACAATCAATAGCATGAAAATTTTGGTTTTCAATTTTTTTGTTCATCCATCCCACATATCAAGAGCATGTGAGTGTATTTATTTCTCTTTTATGTTCGATTTGAGAGTAAGCACCATAAAGACTCGACAAAAATCGTGTAATGTGTTTGTTTTTCATTGTATCATCGCGTTACAATACATATATCTTTTTGATGCAAAAGAAGGATTCCAGTTATACACACATATATTTATATATATATGTAGATACATACGAGTACACATGGAAGTACTTATACGTAAATAAATTTTAGATCCATTTGTTTCTTCGAGATCCAACACTCCGTTTATTTTTTCCCCACTTTTGTTGCCTTTCGATGTCCAAGATGCATATTGTTACAAATAGCTTTATCGAGATTAAAAAATACTAGATTAATTTTTTTTTTTATGATATACATTGATGATTGTTTTTCCTTTTTTTTTTTTTAATCGACTTTCCGGTATTGTAGATTACTTATGGTTGGTAGGTGTTAACCAGAAAATCGTTTAGTGCGTTCTAAAGCCATATGTATAGCCCAAATAATTCACTCCAACATCGATCGTTAATATGCATCCATGAAAGCATGTCGGATATTTTTTTTTTTTTTTTTTTTTTTTTTAATTTTTTTGGTAA